AACCAGGAGTGACCATCTGCCACTGCAAGTATTTAGCTTCAAAATACTGATTAATAATTAACAGAGTGATCACAGCAAACAGATAAAAGCCACGTTAAAAAATGTCCTACCCTTCCACTGCCATCCTGTGATTCCTGAACTTCCCATCAGCTGTGGTGCCCCCTGGGGTGATGCACAACGTCTCCAAAAGATCAGCAGAGCAACCCCAACTTCTGGGACTACAGAGTTCCCTTCTCCTTCCTTTCCCTTACCCTGGGTGGAGCAGGAGGAATGTCAAACCAGGACAAGGAAGGGCAACGCTCACCCTGGGACTCACCCAAAACCCAGGATTTAAAAACTGACATCACTCCCAAGTCCCACTGCTGCAGCACAAGATGCAGTTTAGGCCCTGGGTCTCCTTTTGGCTGCACCCATCCCTTCCTGCTGGCAACAGGGCAATGTTTGCTCTCTCAGCAGCCCACTGGGGAGAGGGAGCAGGAGAGACCTGCAGACCTGGAGCAGAAACCCTTGGCCCGGAGGTGCCTCGATGGTTTCATCCTTTGCCACATCCAGACATTTCTAAGCAAATTTTAGAGCAGCCATTGGGGTTTTTTTCAAGGCTAGTGCTCCAGGAGTGTTTGAATAAACAAACCATATCCCTGGTGCAGTAAAAGCCTCCTTTCCCTCCCAGCCCAGAGGCCCCACACCCACACCAATAAAAGGGATATTGCAGTGGGCAAAGCACGCGAACCTCTGGGGATGCCCCAGCTGTGGCTTTGCCAGAAACCAGCTCCCTTTGCAGGGACCTGGTGTCATCAGTCTCTGCCTCCAGCCCCTGGGTACTCCCTGAGCACACACAGATCCCACTGCACGGGGAGAACCACAACCCCCCCCCTCACTTTTCACTAGCACCACTTCTCCCGTAGCCCCCTGCTGTGCTTCCAGTTGGTCTCCCCACTGCACAGAGGGAAACTGGTGAGCAGAGCCAGGGATGGAGCAACCAACCTGCTGGGCTTGGAAGATGCATTCCTGGAGAGCCCAAACCATGGCTGCCTGCAGGGGGAGGGAACCATGTTCCCATCCCTGCCCTGTGTCCCTGCAGACACCCACCCCAGGCAGGGTCCCTGGAAAAGGAGGAACCTGCAGCCAGGACAAGGTTGGCCAGCAGGTCAGTCCTTGGGCTGCCAGCTGGGAGCTCTGGGACACAGTCGGGGATGGGCCCTCTCTCTCTCTCAGCAGCTCCAGAGATCTTTTCCAGCCTGAACAATTCTATGACAGCCCACAGCTCTGCTCCCATTGCCCTTCCCAGCCTTTTTACAGGACAATGCTGGGGGCTCCCTGAACCTCTCATTCCCTCATAAGCCTGGCAGCCTTGGGCACTGCAGCAGGGATTCCATGGACACCCTGCAGCAGAACCTCCATGGACACCCTGCAGCAGAGATTCCATGGACCCCCTGCAGCAGATTCCATGGACACCCTGCAGCAGAAGCTCCATGGACACCCTGCAGCAGAGATTCCATGGACACCCTGCAGCAGAAGCTCCATGGACACCCTGCAGCAGAAGCTCCATGGACACCCTGCAGCAGAGATTCCATGGACACCCTGCACTGCCCTGCACACTCCAAAGAACCACACTACAGGGCCAGTCCTCAGTTCTGGACCAGCAGGTGCTGCTGCTTGTCTGAACCCAGAGGCACAGGAGCCCAGATCTCCTGGCTGGGGCTCCACATCCCACACATAGTTCCTCATCACAAGCAATGCCTGGATTATTTATTAACTTGGTCATTGTTGGGGCTACAATGAACTATAAATAACAGTTCAGGAAGTGGCAGGTAAGACTGAGTGGCAGGACTTGGCTCAGTCCCAGCTGCTCTTTCTCACTTAGCTCATCCTGCAGTGTTGGTGTCCCTTTTCCCACCAGGGGAAAATGATCAATTCCCACTCCCCACACGGCTAAAGCTGGGGCTGAACCCTCAGTCCTCCTGTGGTTGCTGTGTTTCCAGCACAGAAAAGAGGCTTTATCTCCTGGCAGGGAGGCAGGATGGGAAAGAGAAATAATGAATTTTTTAAAAAATAAAATACCAAAAAGAGCTGTTCCTGAACAGCTTTCCCCTGAAACTGTGCAGCCTCAAATTCTGCTCTGCTTCTAGATGGCAGAACCACATGGTCACAACATGAGCAGAAGTGCAGAGCAGCTGCACCAGCTTCTTGCCCAGAGTCCCCATTCACTCAAGTCTCTGCCCTGGCAAAACTCCTCTTTGACACAACCTGAGGATTTACCTCCATGTGACAAGAAAGCAGAACTGGCTCTTCCCTCCCAAGGCCAGCACAGCACCCTGTTGGTTCAGCTGCAATTTAAATGGGATGTGCACTGCAGGTGAAAGTCTTGCTCCTGCAGTAGCTCTCCTGGGATCAGCTTTGACCCTTTACCATCTGCCTGGGACCCCACTACCACCACCTCAGCAGTTCTCCTTCGAACAAATTCATCACTCAGCAACTAACTTACAGCACAGAGATGCTTAATGTTTAATTTTTTGTGTTAATTCTCTCCTCATGTGACCCTAACCTGTGAATTTGGAGGCTGATTCCTACAGACACTTCCCCACATGGAGCTCACAAAGTCCTGCAAAGACCAAGACCCCTCCAAGCAGGGTAAGGGACAGAAAACACTCTGATTTCTTGGGCACTGACAATTCCAGCCCTGATAATGCCAACTCAGCCAGGCCTTTACCCAGTCAGTCAACCAGTTTATTTCCATCTCCCCAGATCTGTTGCCACTGAAAACTGGAGAGAGCAGAATGAAAGATATTCGTACATCTCCAATATGCAACACAATGCTATTGTGGGACTTGGTCAGAGCTAATTTGTGCTGCAGTAAAAGATCAGGAATTTGGGCTGGGTTTTTTTCTGGCCTAGCATCTGGCTTCATGCTAACAGTAACAATGAGCTCTGCTATATAGATATAACCATTTATTTGCTTGTTTTGTGTCAACAGTTAAATTACTCTTCTGATAAAGACACCACATGATACGTTTCAGTCTCCATGACTCACTGGAGACACCAAATGCTTCATGAATCATCAACAGCAGCTATTACCCAGTCTGATGTACATCATTTTAGCCAACCAGAATGGTCTATCACAGCAGTGAACAACAGACCAGCAGGAACGTTCAGAGAAGCTGCAAAACCTCCCTGGTCAGAACCCACACTGAAAAAAAACCTGCCTGGTTCCACATCTGGGGGGACAAAAAAAGGGGAAGAAGGGAAAAACTACTTTTAAGAGGGGGAAAAAAGCCCCAATGCCAGAGCTCCCATGGTAGAGGTTTTGCTCTGTGAAAGAGGGATGATTGGAATATCCCTCAGCTCCTGCCTTTTCTTAGTATTCCCTTTCAGAAGCTCACCCAGCAAACGTCAAGGCAGGAGACAGAACAAAATTCCTCCTGTAGGGCAGTCACAGCTTAAAAGAAAGCAGCCAAAGTAATTTTTGGAGCTGTAAAACCTGTTATCTAGGAGAACAGGTAACTGCAGGAGGATACTTCACCCTCAGCCTGCAGTGGAGTGCAGCCAAGGACAATTAGGCAAGCTTCATTAAATCTTTTTACACAGTGCTGTTTGCCAGCATTATTCAGGTGCACACTTTCCTTGTAAAGCAAGGGAATGACTACCCTGCATATCCCTTTTTAAATTACATGCATTAAGTAATTCTTCTTGGCCATACCTAATTACCTAAAAACTATTACAGGATGTTGCTGATGTGATAAGGAGTCACTTCTGCCTCTGGAGAGACAGGCTGATCTCAGGGCTGCCAACCACAGCAACTGTACAGAACTAGTTGGTTCCCTAACTGGTTTTACACATATTCCTCTTCAAGAACTTCACTTTTCCAGCACACCTACAATTTCAGGAATCAGAACTAAGTGTTCATTTAGGCTCATCTCACAGCCTCATCCTTCTGTAACACCCTGTGCTGAACAGTGTTGCTCCTAACCCACAAATGACAGCAGGACTGGTGACTGAGCCATCCCAAGTGCTTCTGTCTCCAAGGCCTTCCCAGCATGGGAATCTGAGGGTGAAAACACCACGTGACTGCTGATCCTGGCAGCAGGAAGACAAGCTGACTGTTTTCTCCAGGAAAAGGAGAGTCTAATCCTCTTCTACAGAACTCTCAAAAACAGAACCAACAAAACCAGAACAACACCCTTTGTCTGGCTGCTTCAGCCAAACAGGATTCAGGGTTGGGTTTTTTCCCCTCAGATGAACAGCATTCTATCAGCAAAACTTCAAGAGTGGCAGATCTGGGACACCAGCTGGAAAACCAGCATTCAAGGTTTATTCTTGCCTACTGCCACTTTCCCCCACGCATCAGGACACCCTGACACCACCTGGGGCTGCCACGTTCCAGCTCTGCAGTTTCCTCAGATTCCCACGGTGATTCCCAACAACAAACTGTTCTCTTTAGCTCTGCAGTTTGGATAAGGAATTGCTCTGGAAACAACCACACTGCTCACTGTGCCAGCTCCTTATACAGAGAAAGACCTTCAAGCCACAGGAAGAAATGAGCCTGCAGCACAGGGGGGGAAAAACCAACAACCAAGGTAACCATGTAGTTCCCATTCTCAAGAATATTTCTCTATTTGCTCAGGAGGCAAAAAAAGCACCAAAGCCCAGGTTATTACTAATCATAAATTAATTAAAAGTTTAATTAGAGAAGAATCAAGGACTTCTGTGATTGGACAGGACATACATTTTGCCAGGCTGCCTCTAGAAAGCTGCTTGATTGAACATGGCACGACTTCCCATCAGCTTGGTGGTCTGGGTTTGCAAAACAGGAATGTCTTGAGCAAAAAAGCAGGTAGGTCAACAGGTTCTGTGAAGCCCAGTTAGTAGATTGCTGCAAGGACTCTTGTGAAACACACATATCTGTCCTTATGTAAGGCACAACCACTGCCCAATGAAGTAATCCACTGATCTGATTATGCAGCAGAGCTCCTGACCAACCAACCTCCAGCCCACGTCAGTTCTCAGAGATTGTCTCTTTCTCCTTTATAAACAACAATGTTCTGGTCCGTTTCATACACTTTGACTTTATAAAGGGTTCCCACAGGCAGGAGCTTCTTGAGGTTTTCCCAGATGAACACTGCAACGTTCTCCGTGGTGCTGAGGGTGAAACAGGAGCAGGTTCAGGACTGACAGCAGCGATACCTGAGGGAGCCGTGCCCAGAGTGGGCCAGGGGGTGCTAAGGGCCACAGGGAGCCATGGGGGCAGCTTCCACGTGGTGATACCCTGAATACAAGTGGGGCTTGAGTCACTAGCAGCAAACATGGATTAAACAAGGCCTAATTAACATCCTATCTGCCCCCCCCAAGCTGTCCACAGAGCTGTGAATGGCTCCTCTGTGAAGGACACCTGACACACAGGTGTGTGCCCCTGGGCTGTGGCACAAACAGGCACCTGCTCTTTCAGATATAGGACTGAGCCCTGAAAACTCTTCCTTGAGCCTGCAACCCACGCCACGAGGAGCCTCCACCACCCACCTCACCACCTCAGCAAAGTAGGGCACATCCTTATCCAGGTTTTTGTGGTCGAGGGGCTCCATGATCGCCTGCTGCAGAGAGAAAACAGTGACCACCTTCTCCTGCCTGCACAGGTTCATTATTGCCAGGCACGTGGGACTGGAGCAAGGCAACAGTACATGAAAAAAAAGGGTAAGGGCCCAACATCCACCTGTTAACTTCACAAACTGCAAAGCTCTAAGCAATTCTCCTGGGGGATTTGTAGGCAAACAGCCACGTTACCTGCATGTATTCCTTCAGGTCTGTCAGGTTCATCACCATTCCTGAAACAGGGTCAATCTGCAGGGGAAACAAGAGGGAGAGTAGTAGCCTGGCCACACATCCCTATTGCCAAGGCTGCCCTGAGTCTGCACAAATCAGACTGTATCTGTGTGCTCAGAACATCTAAGCCATCAGAAAAACCTTCCCATCTTCAGCCAGGGAGCTCCAGCACTGCTCCTGTGATGCTCCCACAGGCTACACACATCATACTAACAGTTCCAGTGGTTCCACTCCCTCATAAAAGCTGCAACCAGGGGAAGGAAACTCACTGAAACACTCAAGCACCAATCTAGCATGATCATCAGCAACAAAACAGGCACTGAGATGCTGAGTTGAACAAGCAGGGACACAAGAGAGACCAGCCTGAGCTCTGGGCATCCTCCCATTGGAGAAGGCACAGCTCCAGGAGCCCAGTCCAGTTATGTAGCTCACAGCATGTTTGGGGAATGGAGAAGGAAGAGGCTTCAGGATTTTAGTGTCAGATCTGAATAGAAATCCTGAACTGAAAATCCTCAGATAGTTATTTGGAAAACATCCAAACCAAAGGGCCAACTAAGCCACTCACTCTTGCAAAACACACAGACCAAGGACAGGGTGAAGGGTGGAAAACAACTGCAAAGGAACCATTTCCTTTTGTATTTATACACAGCAAAACACCTTGACAAAAGAGCAGAGAAAATCAGTTCCTGGAAGTGCTGAGCCTGCCTGTGGCTCAGCAATCACCCAGAGCAGCTCCACAGACCTCAGCAGAACCTGCACAATATCTTAAGTTACATAACCTGGACCCTGGACTTAAATGTGGTCACCTTGTTAGAGGCAAAGTGACTGGAAGAGTGATTATGGAAAACTTTCTTCTGCAGTGGTGTGAACAGAGCTTCCACAAACACCCTGGGAAACCCTGAGCTGGAACTCCAGCACTGTGGGAGACACAGACCCATCTGTCCTAAGGAATGGAAAAATAAACTGTTGCTGCCACTTACCTGTCCACAGACAGTGACTATAACTGAAAAAAAAAAAAGAAAACATCAGGTGACAACAAAGTGACACTTTGAGACAACTTCTTATTACCTATTTAGCTTAACAGCTTACAGCCCTTTGGTTCAACCAGGGTTCAACCCTCCTGCTGCGGGGAATTCCTCGTCATTCCAAAGAAAACCCCCAGAGCAGCCCCCAACATCCACAGCCACAGCAACAGCCACAAACCCAGCAACAGCCACAACCCCAGC